ACATAACTGCGCACCAGTGCACAATGCAAGGTCCATAAAGACATACAGTGGGGATCGAAAGTTTGGGCACCCCAGCTAAAAATTTGTATTAATGTGCATAAAGAAGCCAAGGAAAGATGGAAAAATCTCCAAAAGGCATCAAATCACAGATTAGACATTCTTATAATATGTCAACAAAAGTTAGATTTTATTTCCATCATTTACACTTTCAAAATAACAGAAAACAAAAAAAGGGCGTCTGCAAAAGTTTGGGCACCCTGCAGAATTTATAGCATGCACTGCCCCCTTTGCCAAGCTGAGACCTGCCAGTGTCATGGATTGTTCTCAATCATCATCTGGGAATCTCAAAGGTTTTAAATGCCCAGACTCATCTGACCTTGCCCCAACAATCAGCACCATGGGTTGTTCTAAGCAGTTGTCTAGAAAACTGAAACTGAAAATAGTTGAGGCTCACAAAGCTGGAGAAGGCTATAAGAAGATAGCAAAGCGTTTTCAGATGTCAATATCCTCTGTCCGGAATGTAATTAAGAAATGGCAGTCATCAGGAACAGTGGAAGTTAAAGCAACATCTGGAAGACCAAGAAAAATATCAGACAGAACAGCTCGCAGGATTGTGAGAAAAACAATTCAAAACCCACGTTTGACTGCACGATCCCTCCAGAAAGATCTGGCAGACACTGGAGTTGTGGTACACTATTCCACTATAAAGAGATACTTGTACAAATATGGTCTTCATGGAAGAGTCATCAGAAGAAAACCTCTTCTACGTCCTCACCACAAAAATCATCGTTTGAACTTTGCAAATGAACATATAGACAAGCCTGATGCATTTTGGAAACAAGTTCTGTGGACCGATGAGGTTAAAATTGAACGTTTTGGCCGGAATGAGCAAAGGTACGTTTGGAGAAGCAGGGGCACAGAATTTAATGAAAAGAACCTCTGTCCAACTGTTAAGCATGGGGTTGGATCAATCATGCTTTGGGGTTGTGTTGCAGCCAGTGGCACAGGGAACATTTCACGAGTAGAAGGAAAAATGGATTCAATAAAATGTCAGCAAATTTTGGATGGTAACTTGATGCCATCTGTGAAAAAGCTGAAGTTAAAGAGAGGATGGCTTCTACAAATGGATAATGATCCTAAACACACCTCGAAATCCACGGGGGATTACATCAAGAGGCGTAAACTGAAGGTTTTGCCATGGCCTTCACAATCTCCTGACCTCAACATAATTGAAAATCTATGGATAGACCTTAAAAGAGCAGTGTGTGACAGACAGCCCAGAAATCTCAAAGAACTGGAAGACTTTTGTAAGGAAGAATGGGCAAAGATACCTCAAACAAGAATTAAAAGACTCTTGGCTGGCTACAAAAAGCATTTACAAGCTGTGATACTTGCCAAAGGGGGGCAGTACAAGATATTCACTCTGCAGGGTGCCCAAACTTTTGCAGACGCCATTTTTTTTGTTTTCTGTTATTTTGAAAGTGTAAATGATGGAAATAAAATCTAACTTTTGTTGACATATTATAAGAATGTCTAATCTGTAATTTGATGCCTTTTGGAGATTTTTCCATCTTTCCTTGGCTTCTTTATGCACATTAATACAAATTTTTAGCTGGGGTGCCCAAACTTTTGATCCCCACTGTAGATGAGAGAGTTTGGGGTTGAGGAACTTGACTTGCCTGCACAAAGTCCTGACCTCAACCCAACAGTACACCTTTGGGATGAATTAGAGTGGAGACTATGAGCCAGGCCTTCTCGCCCGACATCAGTGCCTGACCTCACAAATGTATTTCTGGAAGAATGGTCAAACATTCCCATATACACGCTCCTAAATCATGTGGACAGCCTTCCCAGAAGAGTTGAAGCTGTTATAGCTGCAAAGATTGAACCTTGCAGACTTAGACTGAGATGCCATTAAAGTTCATGTGTGTATAAAGGCAGGTATCCCAATACTTTTTGGCAATATAGCGTGCGTGCGTGTGTTCATATATATATATATATATATATATATATATATATATATATATAGGTGGTTCTGAGCACTCCCACAGTGTGAGTCAAGGTTATAACCCAGGATTCTCAACTAAACTGTTTGAGGGGCTCCAGGGAGTTTGCTTAATGCAGAGGAAACTGTCTTTTCAGTTTTCTCATTTGTTCGCAAAGTCCATCTTGGGACTTGGAGTCTGAAGATTTTGCAGTGATTTGGGAGGGATGAAATCTCCAATCCTGGGTACATGTTTTCAGAACCCCCAGCACACTAATTATACAGGGGGTATACACACAATAGTGCAACATGTGAATTCCCTCTATGGGAATATAACAAGTGCAAGCGATAAATAATGCAATAGTGATTCACACAAAAACAAATCAATATATCATATTACATAAATCATCAAAAGCCAGTGCATATATTTATATACACGATATATAATCCAATGATAGTGCTCCAATTCAACTATCATGCAAGTGACTGTGTATGTGTCCAATAAGTGATAAATCCTCCAGTGGCCTGAGTGCCCCCTCACCTCCTTACATCGACCCCACAGGGTCAGCTCGCTCAAAGGATTGCACCAATCCTGATAAGGGCAGATTCCTCACAGGCTCCCCTCAAGGTAGTAAACGCTCCTCATTCCAAGCCTCCGTAAAGTGTACAGCAAAACTCTCCCAGGATCATGGATAAACAAGAAAAACTTCCATAGTGTAAACTGTTTTATTAAACATTCCTATCCATAAACATTAAAATGCCCACTCACATGTAATTCCTTCTCTGTACAGTGCTCTTTGTCACCTCATGCTAGAGGTGTACTGCATGGGTATCAAAAGGTGTTCCAATATGGCCCCCACGCCGGAAGTGACGTCACCGCGCACCCGGAAATACCTCTTCACATACCGACGCGTTGCGTCACGCTAGCACGTGACTTCCTCAGGGTAGTGGAGGTGTGCTATTAAAAAGCTCTACCATTTGATGCTATATCTCAATATATATATATATATATATATATATATATATATATATATACACAGTATATATACACATACAAAAAAAAAATATACGTATACATACTACATACAAAATAAAATATTAGAAGTTGATAAGTATCAGGAAAATCACATAGAACAGAAACAGGCAGCCTGTGGTATATACAATAGGTCAGGAGTAAATTAGAACAGGGTAATTCAGGAACAGGCTGATGCACAAACATAGTAATAACAGGCACAAAGCCAGAATACTGAGGGAAGGAGAATAAATTGGGGTGGAACTAAATAGGCGGGAATATACAGTATAGCTAACATACCTGAGAGTTGTGGGTCCTGGGCTGGGGTGGGCCATTCCAGTGTCCACCATCAGGTGTCATCCAGCTGCCAGTGGAGCTTAGTGAAGTGATTAGTTTCTAAGTGATGCCTGTCGCTGGGAGAAACCTGATGGTGGACACTAACATTGCCCTAGCTCAGGTTCACAGTGCTACAAGCTGGTGATTTAGCTATACTGCATATTCCTGACTGTTAGGAAAGTGTATGGCTATGCATTACACTTACCTCCTTTCCAGGTATTGCTTGCTCTTACTCCAAGCATACAACTCTGGAGAATGCACATTGTCGGTGAAATTTTTATAGATCCCTAGTTCATCAGATTCTCCTGGGCAAAAACACCTGAATGTGACACACGGATTGCTGTTTAAGGATAAAAGGTATAGCTTTTTTGAAATATGCTTCTATTGCTGTATGTTGTGACATGGCAGCAATTTATTTATGTAGATGTAAAATAATTAAAAGGTCCAATTTTTTTGCTTAATCTGACCCTTAGTATTATAACGTAAAACATGTTCACCCTTTCCTCCCCTATTCTTAAATGCCTACAGACATATTTATAAAAAGTAGCTTCCCCCCTAGTTTCCACTGTCATAATCTAACTATGCCTTACCTGCCTCTGCTAATTTAAGGGTTAAAAGATTCTTTTCATAAATCTAACATGCTCCCACACTGTATTGACTACATAACTAACCACAATCTGACTGATATTAGGCATCTCTGTATACCATACACAGGACACCTTCTTTTGCTTGGTCAATAATTGATGTAAGCAGGAGGTAACCTACTACTGTAAAGTCCCCTAGATTGGCACAGCTTTTCATTCTCTGTTTTCCACTGTAATGAGCTTAGATTTGTAACATCCTGTTATATACTGTATTTATTATATAAAACTACATTTCAATATAATTTACATTTAATATTACCTAAAATACAGAAGTTTCTGAGTTTACCAATGACCTGGCACACCATCAGGTATTATGAACAGTGCAGAACATTTGCTGCACTTCTTTCTGTAACAGCCTCTAAGGAGAGAACTTCTTTTTTTTTAATCCCTCATTTCCCAGACCTGTCCCACAACACTAAAACACAATCCCAGACAAGAAAAGCTGCTAAAGGCAGCAAATTACTCACAGTAACCAGCACCCATTGCATTTCTGCTATTGCCAGCAACCTTATAACTTTATAGACTTTACAAATATAGGGTATTTAGTAACTATAGGCTTAAGTTACCACCCAAGTGTATATTTTCTTGGTTGTAAAATGCTCAAAAGGCATCAAAGTTCTCAGGGCATGTGTAGCATGCCCTGTCCTTCCCCCCCCTCCACTCCACAGCAACATTTGGTTGAAGTTGCTGGGCAAACAATGAAGCTATTAACTACTTCGAGTCCGGACACTTTTACCCCCTTCCAGTCCAGGTCAATTTTCAGCTTTCAGTACTTTCACACTTTGACTGACAATTGCGCGGTCATGCAACACTGTACCCAAATTAAATTATTAGAATTTTTTGAGACAGATAAAACTTTATTTTGGTGGTATTTATTCACCACTGGGATTTTTATTTTTTTGCTATATACTGTATTTTTCGCTCCATAAGATGCACCTGACCATAAGACGCACCTAGATTTAGAGGCAGAAAACAGGAAAAAAAATATTCTGAACCAATGGACTGCAGACATAGTACAGGAGATGACCAGAGACTGCGGACATAGTACAGGAGATGACCAGAGACTGCAGACATAGTACAGGAGATGACCAGAGACTGCGGACATAGTACAGGAGATGACCAGAGACTGCGGACATAGTACAGGAGATGACCAGAGACTGCGGACATAGTACAGGAGATGACCAGAGACTGCGGACATAGTACAGGAGATGACCAGAGACTGCGAACATAGTACAGGAGATGACCAGAGACTGCGGACATAGTACAGGAGATGACCAGAGACTGCAGACATAGTACAGAGATGACCAGAGACTGCAGACATACTACAGGAGATGACCAGAGACTGCGGACACAGTACAGGAGATGACCAGAGACTGCGGACATAGTACAGGAGATGACCAGAGACTGCAGACATACTACAGGAGATGACCAGAGACTGCAGACATACTACAGGAGATGACCAGAGACTGCAGACATAGTACAGGAGATGACCAGAGACTGCAGACATAGTACAGGAGATGACCAGAGACTGCAGACAGTACAGGGATGACCAGAGACTGTGGACAGTACAGGAGATGACTGCTGACCTTTGAGGGGGGGGGCGGGTACCTGAATTTGACAGGTACCCGCTCTTACTTCTTCTGAGTTGTTCTTTGGTTAGTGTCCGCTCAGCAGAGGGACCTTACCTGTTCCTCTATCCAGTGGCGCGCTGTCTTCCCGGCTTCTGTAGTGTGGGGCGCTCGGCTTCATAGCCGGGTGCCCAGTGCGCATGAGCGAGAAGCGCTGCGCTTTGTGATTGGTCCGGCGGCTTCTGGGACTTGTCATGTATCCCAGATGCCGCCTTACCATTAACAAATTGCACCGCTTCTTGCGCATGCGCACTTGGCACCGGCTGTCAAGCCGAGCGCCCACACTACAGAAGCCGGGAAGAGAGCGTGCCGCTTGGATAGGAACAGGTAAGGTCCCGCTGCAGAGCTGAGAGGATGGCCCGGTATTCTGACACGGCGGCGGAGGAAATACCGGATCGGCCGCTCCATATTCGTTCCATAAGAAGCACTGACATTTTCCCCCCTTTTTTGGGGGGAAAAATGTGCGTCTTATGGAGCGAAAAATAGGGTAAATGAAAAAGTCCAAACATTTTTGAAAAAAAGTGTTTTTCCAAAATGTATTCATCTGTTTTTTTAGCAAAAACAAAATAACCCAAATTAGTTTATAAGCAACAATTATCATTTTTCAAAACATTTTTTTACATTATTATTTATATATTTTTTTAACATACATAACAATAATATTTTTTTTCTTTTTTTTTACACGGATTGCTTTTACACCCATAAAGGCTGTAAAAGTAATAATTTCTCTTTCTCTGTGGCTGCATTCTTGCAGTCATTGAGAAATACTGTGAGAGCTATGATTGGTCACAGCTTGTCACATGGTACAAGGCTGTTGTGAATAGCCTTGTACCATGTGACCTCTGTGATCATTCAAAGATTTCACAAGTAGTAAGTAATGATGTCAGAAAGTTACATCTTGTTTACTACTATTCATGTGATTACTGACCAAGTAATCAGTGATCACACGAATAAAAAAAAAAAAAAAAGTACTGGCCAATCAGTGATCACACGAATCGGGACATTACACAGAGGTCCCGTACAGCGATCGGATGCAGCGGACACCAAATGCGTTGTCGCGCACTCCCAGGGAGCGCGCACAGGCAATGCATGTGGCAATCGATGCAGGGAGACATTTAGAAACGTCCACCTGCGCCAGCGGCGCTCCCGTCCGGCCGTTTATGTACATGGGCAAGACAGGAAGTGGTTAAACTACTTCTGTCAAAAACAGAACCTCTGACATAATGTTTAAAAGCACTCTTTAGACAAGATAGAGAGATACAAGGTAAGATTATTAGGTTTGTATTTACTCTTTTCCATTCATCTGCAGATCAAAGGGATGAACTTTGTGTCAGGGAGCGAGGAGCCAGACACACAAGGAGGTGCAATTAAAGGTAGGTTTATTAATATAAAAATAAGACAAGAGTCTATGCAAGTCCAACAGCAGAAATAGTAGCCAAAGCCGGGGTCAAGAGCCAGGAAGAATCGTCGCCAGAGCCGGGATCAGGAGCCAGGAAGAATCGTCGCCAGAGCCGGGATCAGGAGCCAGGAAGAATCGTCGCCAGAGCCGAGATCAGGAGCCAGGAAGAATGGTCACCAGAGCCGGGGTCAGAAGCCAGGAGGAGTCTTAGCCAAAACCGAGTCGGTATCCAGGAGTAGCTAAACAGGAGCTTGCTGTTGTGCAACAGACAGGACACGAATGCAATGGACAGCCACAAACGGCAGACTTATATGTGATAAGCCGCCACTCCCTGGGGGAGGAGCCGCAGAGGGCTGAAAGCATAAAGGATCCCACAATGCTTTGCAGACACCTAAGATGGATGCCATCACATGGAGCAGCACAAGGTCTGAGGAAAGGTAGGACCTTGACACTTTGGTTTGCATATTATGTCAGTAAATCCAACCTGACAGATAAAAAAAAAAGTTTTGTTTTTTATAAAATGTGTTTCTATTTAAACCTATATAAACATTTAGTTTACCCTAGTCAGCCCTAATTAACTCCTTCTGCCCATTCTCACTTTAGTTTTTATTTACTTTGTGTAATAATTTTCAATTATTGACCAATAAATTAAAGAAAAAGCCTTTATGCAATCTGTAAATTATTTGGAATACTTTGTACCAAAATCCTTATTTTAAACAGAGCAAATTTATAGAAAAAATGCAATAAAATGTATACTTTTGATCTATAGTACTTTAACACTATTTCTTTTTCTTGTTCAATAGTTTTTATTAAATTCTCAGAACTGTAAACAGCATTGTACAATTCAATTTAAACGTATGCTGCTATACACACACAATACAAGAGAACATTACACAAAGGGTTTTATGAAGGATAACAACATCAGAATACAATAGGAGTTGGAGCAATGTATGAGGTAACAAACTGTGAAAAATACTTGAAAGTGGCCCCAATATTTCGGAAAATTGTGCCTAAGAGCTCCTTGATATGGAGAGTGGAGAGCAGCTTAGTGTAGTTTTATGATACAAGTAGGTAGTCTCTAAGTTAGAAGAGAAAAAAAAAGGGGGGAGAAGGTTGGGGGCGGGGGGGTCCAATGGCTGCTGCAGCAGACAATATTATAGTGTTGGAGCGCCTAATCTCACCTAGACATCCAGCAGCAACTAGTCATGGTCCTGAGGTAAAAAATTATCCACTCAGAGCTGCCAAATTTTCAGGTGTTCAGGAATTCAATTGAGCAGTGTTGCCTCAATTTTATTATGTACCATGAACTTGGTTATTCTATGTTTCATCTCTAGGAGACATAGGTTTGATGATTTCCATGCCTTAGCAACAGTTTATTTTGATGCAGTGGTAACACATAAAAAGAAGTTTAAATTGTGATGAGTTTAAGTCAGGTGGATATTTATTTAGTAAGGTTATGGTAAGGTCAGGAGCTTAGATAGAAGCTGAAACACCTCAGTCCAGAAAGCAGCAACAAAAGGGTAGGTCCACCAGGTGTGAAAATTGGTTCATGGGTCCACACATTCTTGAAAGTAATGTTGGGGGTAAGTTGGAAGTATTTTCGCAATCCTAGGTACCGCCTAGTGAGGACTAGATAATTTGCTTCTAAGGCTAGCATTTTTACAGTGGAGGACTTAGTTGACTGCCTTATTTTGTCCCAGTTCTCTGGGTCTAACAGGGTGCCAAGGTCCGTGGCCCAGTACTCAGTATAAGAAGGTGATATAGAGGTAGATGTGGAAGTCAGATGTGTATATAATTTGGAGATTACTGGGGGGTCAGATGAGTAGATATGTCCAAATAGCTTTTGTAAATCTGTTTGGTCTTTGATGTACTTTGAATAAAAATGCAATCTTTGAAGATATCTGAATATCTCAAAATTCGGGAGATTTTGTCATTCTTGCAGGAAAGTGAAGGATGGAAAAGAGGAGGCTGTAACCAGGTGAAACAGGTGATCCGAGTGAGCTCCAAGATCAAAAAGAAGTGGGAGCAGAACAAGCTGGATAAAATTAAGGATGCCTCAAAAAGGAAAGGAGAGGAGTATGCGGGGACTGTTATACTATTTCTTTCTCAAACAATCACTAATTCAAGTAGAAAGAAGCTTTTTTTGTTCTTTTTTATGGATTGTATAAAAAATTTAATGTCACCAAAAGAAAGCATTGTTGATGCTAAAATGTACTGTATGTAAAAAATTGTTCTGGTCCATGTCCAGCAATAAACAGAGGACAGATTTACAAGAAAAAAAATCTAAAAAAAATAATAAAGTGCTAAAAGATGCACCTTAACTGTCCACACATTACACTTTTGTTATACAATCTTCTTTAGCTTTACCAAGGGAATGCTTACAAAGGCCCTTACACTACATCAACCTTTCTCAACCTTTTTACCCTAGAGGAACAATTGACATAATGTTTAGTTCTTAGGAAATCCCCTGCTAAAACCAATTCACCAGAAATGGAAATAATGCCCTTTACATTTGTGGCCAGTGAAAAGAAGTAGCCCCTTACATTGGTGGTTAGTGGGAAGAATGATGCCTTACAGTTGTGGTCAGCATTCCTCCCTTTTAGACAGCTAAGAAAATCATTGTTGTCATGCCATGACTCTGACAAATAGTTTTGACCCTGGAATTATCCAGCACCATTTGGATGAAACTAAGATTAATCTGTACCAGAATGATGGGAAGAAAAAAGTGTGGAGCAGGCTTAGAACAGATCATGATCCAAAGCACACAATGTCATCTGTAAAACATGATGGAGGCAATGTGATGGCATCGGCATGCATGGCTTCTAGTGGCACTGGATCATTGGTGTTTATTGATGATGAGACAGAAGCAGCTGGATGATTTCTGCAATGTTTAGAGATATACTGTCAGCCCAGATTCAGCCACAGTACAGATGGACAATGATCCAAAACACACTGCAAAAGCAACCCAGGAGCTTTTGAAGGAAAAGAAGTGGAATATTCTTCAATGGCTGAGTCAATCACCTGATCTCAACCCAACTGAGCATGCATTTCACTTGCTGAAGGTAAAACTAAAGGCAGAGAGGCCCACAAAGAAAAACTGAAGACAGCAGCAGTTAGAGCCTGGCAAAACATCAGAAAGGAGGAAACCCAGTTTTTGGTAATGTCCATGGGTTCCAGACTGTAGGCAGTCATTGCCAGTAAAGGATTCTCAACAAAATATTAAAAATTAACATTTTATTTATGATTATATTCATTTGTCTAATTACATTTGAGCCCCTGAAAATGGAGCGACTGTGTATAAAAACGGTTGCAGTTCCTAAAATTTGTACTTGATATTTATGTTCAACCCTTTGAATTAAAGCTGAAAGTCTGAACTTCATATTCATTTGGATTTTTTTAATTTAAATATTTATTAGTTTTTTCATATTATTACAAAAATTCCATAAGAAGAGACACAAAAACATATAAATAATCAATACATTTCTACTTTGCCCCCTTCTAATTACCTCTTTTCTTTCCCTCCCCTCCCAACCCACCTCTACCCCCCCACCCCCTCCCTCCCCTCTGCAAGATCTCCAATCTCTCAAGACCCAATAACTTTAAATAATTTCCTAGTTTAAAATTTTCTATATTTCTCTTTCATTCCTGATTTTTCCCATTTTTCCCATCGCGAATAGTATATTTCCAACCTGTCTTCCTGCATATAGTATGATTTTTCCATTCTGCTAATCTGGTTTACCCTATTAATCCAATCCTCCTCCATCGGCACCTCTGTCTTCCGCCAAAACTTAGGTATCAACCCTTTTGCAGCACTTAAGTAGTACCATATGCCTGATTCTTTATATTTATTTACTGTTGTCTCAACATTATGTAGGAGACACATGGTTGGGTCTAACCCTATGTCATTTCCAGTTATTATTTCTATTAATTTAACTATTGTCTTCCAGAAAACTGAATTTTTGGACATTGCCACCATATGTGGAACACCGTGCCCTCCTCCCCACATCCTCTCCAACACATTTTTGAATTCTCCCCACTCATCTTGTGCTCAGTGCTTGGTGTAA